CCGCCGCGCATTCCCAGGGTCTGAGCTCAGGCGCTGTCAGCACCCCCCGGCGGGGGTCGGGCTGTGACCTGGAGCGCCCTCTGGTGGCCCCGACACCCCCTTCTGCCGCATCGGCTCCCGGACGGTCCCACGCTCAGCCTTGGCATTTCCTTAGACCAAGAGGATGTCAGCGTGGGACCTGAGAGTCTTAGAATTTGGGAATAATGAAATCCCCAAAAGAACCATTCCCTGCCAGAATGCTGGCACTGGAGGTAGTATAGATGGTTCATTTTAATATTCAACGAACCCAGAGTGTTTCCTGTGTATCTCATAGATCCTAAAAGACATAAGTTCTAATTCCTGTAATCTCTACTTTTTGAGGCCTCAATTCTCAGAATCTTAACTCCTCTCCACCTTCTGGTCAGTTGGATCCTCACAACAGTCCTCTGAGGTGGACTGCTATTTATCCTCATTTTACAGATCAGGAGACTGAGGCACTCTTGTCAGATGGGACAGTGGTACCACCTGATTTGAACCCTGGAAGTCTGGCTCCTTAATTGTGTTTTTAGCAACTCCACTGTACCAAACATTCATCTAGACTTTTAAGACATTGGACTCTTGGTATAGGTAGAACTCGGAGCAGGAAGACAGAGGAATCCAGACTAGCCAAAGTAGAGAATTCTAGAATGTTCCAAAAGGTAGAATCTTGGTCTCAGAACTTTTAAACAATAGCCTCTCAGGCTGGCAGTTTTAGGTTCTGTAGAAATTTAATTACAATCTCAAGGTGTTTATAATTTAAGAATCTAGACCTCTGAGAGATTGAGGAGGCTTCTCAGAATAGCTGATTTGACTCCTCCTTTCACTGTTGGGGAAACTGAGGCCCAAGGAATGAAGGGGCCTTGTAGCCCAAGGTCACACACTCCCAACACACCCAAATGAGCCACCAGCCCCAACAGGTTCTGTTCCGAGGCTTCCCAGACAGAGGCCAGAATCAGCACGCCCCAGCCCGCCCTGCTGCCCACGCCTCACCCTAAGTCAAATGTAAGCGGTCGGTTGGTGCACTGGGGAGGTGGCAGGGCTGGCGGGCGTGGCGGCTACCATGGAGATGGGGATGGTGCTGGCTTGACTGGTTCCCAGTGGCCTGCCTCCTTCTCACTGGGCTGGTGACCACAGTGGCCCAGCCTTCCTTGGCCTCCTCCCTGTTCTTCCTGTTAATGCTGGGTCCGTGTGAACCAGGTCGTCTCTGGGGAGAGGAAGCTGAGTGGTCCCCATCCTCTGGAGCCCCTCCAGTCTGGTGGAGATGACCGAGAATGAAAAGTTAGGTCCAGGTGTAAAAGTCAATATGGGGACTTCTTGCATGGTGACCCTGAACAAAAGGTCCCCCACTTTCTTGCTTGCTATGGAGGTTTTGATCATGGAAGAAGAGCACTTGGCACAATTCTAGGGGGCAGTGTTCCCTCAATAAATGGTTGTTTTATTTCATTATACCCTTAAGCAACTAGCACAGGCCCTGGGATATAATAGGCAGCACAGTCATTATTTTTTAAAAGATCCCCAGTCTTTGTCAGTGTCTCCTGGTCCCTAGTGAGCATCCAGTAATTGATATTATTATTGCAACAGCTGTTCACTATAATGCCTGGCACATAGTTAGGTGATCAGTGGATAATTGTTGAAGGAATGATCAAGTCTTCTTAGGGCTGAGATAGCGAGAAAGACAAGGAGCCAAGTAGACTGAACTGTCCTTAGCCTTCTAGGAGGGCTTTGCAGGAGTTGACATTTCCCAGCCAGGGAAGTGGAGGCGCATAGCGCTTCCAGTGGAAGGAACTAGGAGAGTAAAGGCGCTGTCCCTCTCCTCGCTTCCCCTGGTTCCCTGCGGGCGGGCTCTGAGAAGGCTCTCCCCCCGCACCCCCAACCGCAGGCGCCCCGCTCCGGCCGGCACCATGGACAGCGAGGCTTTCCAGAGCTCGCGGGACCTTCTGGATCTGAATTTTCAGTGTGAGCTGCGGTAGGGGGCGGGCCCTCAGAGGGGAGAGGCTGGACCCTGCCCAGAGGTCTGGGTCCTTACCTCCACTCCTGCCCGCCCAGCTCTGGCCATGAAGCACATGGACCTGAAGCAGATGGAGCTGGACACGGCGGCGGCTAAGGTGGACGAACTGACCAAGCAGCTGGAATCGCTGTGGTCAGACTCACCAACGCCTCCTGGCTCGCAGGCCGGAGCCCCCGCTCGGGTGAGACTGCTCGCTCTCGTCCCCACCCTGGCCCTCAAAATCAGTATATTTCCGCATGGAGTCCAGGCAAGCCTGTCCCATAGGGCTGTGCAGGTTGTGGGCTATTAAAGGGCACTTGATAGAGGGAACCTGTGGAAGTGGACATCGGTCAGGACTCTCGAAAGGAAAGGGGACTTTATTCTAAGCGGCGCAAAGGCACTCTATGTGCTAACCTCAGCCCTGATTTCAGGGCTGTCTCCCCAACACCTTTCTCGTGGGCTCTCTGCCAGAATCTCCAGCTCCAACCCCCAGGATTGATTTTCCGTCACATCTATCGACCTCCTACCAACCCTCTACCAACGTCTACTTTGACCCCTCAATGTCCTGACCTTCCCACAGCTGTCCCGGTACAGTTCCAGCCCGGTCCCCGAGCCCTTAGGCAACCGCGGGTCCCCCCGGAAGGCGACCACCGACAGCGCAGACACCCCGTTCGGACGCTCCGAGAGCGCCCCAGCTCTGCTCCCCTACAGCTCGCTGTCCGCTAAGGGCCGGCCGTCGTCCCCGCGCACCCCGCTCTACCTGCAGCCGGACACCTACGGCAGCCTGGACCGCGCGCCCTCGCCCCGGCCC